TGCCTTATCCCCGGGGTCGGCGGCAGGGGGCGGAGCCCTTACAATTATATGTATATACTTGTATATATACAGAATCAAGTAAATTAAATCGTGTCCAACCAACCTGCAGTGGTAACCTGATTCATACTGATTGAATTTTAATTTTGAGTTCCCGGAAGCCTTTTTGGCCAAGACTCTGCTCATGTCAAGGCAGGTTCTAGTTGATGTTTGCTGCATTTTGCTGGGAAGTAAGTATGTTTGCTCCAAAGCCAGATGGATTGACTTTGTCAATGCCAACGCGATCCTGAAGCTTGCACAGTGCAAAGCAGTTGGCTCACGGTTGTGACCTTGCAGTTGACAAGGCCTCACCAGCGAATTTGGAGGCAGCCTGGGTGCGATCAAAGTCACTCAAGTTCCGCGCAGATTTGGGAGTTTGGTCTGAGAGACACAGCTCCCTTTGTGCGGTGCCAAGGCCAAGTTCAGTTGTCGCTGCCTCGTCCGTGTCTTTTGGAGAGTCGCTGACAGGTATGGTTGAAGCCAAAGACATCGCAGATAGCCACCAGTCCGTGTCGTACAGCGCAGCTAGGTGAAGTCGTCTCCCTTCCAGCTCAGACACACGATCAAACAACTTCTTTATCTCGCCGCCAGAGCGTCTTGTTGCTAGGGCCTCTTCTTTTTGTTGCAGAAGCTCGTGGAGCTCCTGACCCATTTCACAAAGCTGCTGTACATGCTCTTGAAGTCGCTGGGCATCTCCGAACCTTTTGGCCCTGAGCAAAGCATCTTCTTTCTCGCGCAGTTCCTTCACCAAAGCCTTCGTTCCCAGATCCGAGGTCGCCAGCCTGGATGAATCTTCATCAACAGGTACCAGGCTCAATGGAACCCCCAGTTCCATCAGCACAGCTGCAATTTCATCCTGGTGCTCCCCCAAATCTAAAGGGCTTCGTGGCTTTTTGGGAAGGACGTCTTCGTACCCCCAAATGTCAACAGTTGCCAAGGATACTTGTTTGTATGGATTGCTCGGTCCAGTTACCAAAGGGTCGTTGATCAGCAGCTTCACTTGTCCGGAACAAAAAAGAAGCATCTTGTGCTTGGCTCTCCGCGTACCACGTGCTGTTGTTGAGCCTGAACGTTGCATTTCCAAAGTACAAGCATGCTCAAAGTGTTGATCTCCAAGTGGATTGTCCTTGCTCAGGTGAACTTCGACCGAGCGTGGCACCAACTCTCCACGTGCTCCAATCTCTATCTCGTGCACCTCCGCACCCCGCTCCAGCTGCAAAAGCAGCTCCTGAGGATATGTGCAGCATCGAGCTGATAGCCAGCCATTTGACCCGGAGTGAAGCGCTAAACTTGGACACGGCTCGTGAGAAGCTTGCTCGCTGGATGCAGATGCCAAAGCAAAGAATAAAAGGGGCATGAGCACAATCGATGCATTCCATCGCACGGCCCCGGCATTCCTAGTGGACAGACCTGGAAATTGAACGTTCCTGCCAGTCAATCCTGAAAGCTCATGCTCTGTAGATTTCTGTAGTCTCTTGTCTGTGCGATTTGTCAAGAGGGTATTCGGCGAACCAGCAACAGGCTATATTGAGCATGCACAAATGATACGGTGGCTTGAACTCAGAATGAACATGGAAATCTGGAAGTTATTTGAGGTCATAGGCAACGTCCTTTTGTCAGAACTGACTTCAGTGATGCTCTCAGCTCACATTCTTGGATGCACAAATTGAAGGAGATCCTGCCACGCAAACCGTGTAGTTTCTTGACAGGATCACGCAAGCAGGACATGATGGCAAGTTCAAGAGTGAAGCAAAGATGCACGCAAAGTGGAATGGGAGTCGGAGTGACAATGTACCGTCTCAAGGAACAAAAAAAGGAACACATCAAGTGGCAAAATGTGGCAAAAAGTTGCGGCCTTTGCCCCTTGAAGACCATCTGCGGAGGGTTCACAAAGAAAACCTCACATATATGCAAACCAGCAGGCAAAAACATGATCGATTGACCTAAGTCATTGAGGCCGAGGAATGGGCTGTCACATAGCCATTTTTTTGGCCTGGAGCAAACATGCCGTTTGATTGCTACGGAAACAAAAAGCGACTGAGCATGCTGTAGCATCAGGAGTCTGAAAAAGCCACTTACTAATTAGATCCAATTAGTAGCAAGCCTGGGGCCCCACAACCAAACTGTTCTTCATTATGTTCATTTCGGCTTATGTGTGACTGATTCTGAAATTGCTGGAAGGTGGCCAGGAACTGCCTTTTGGGCATATGGCCTTCCTAAAATGTATAAATGAGAGCAATGTTGAAGGAGAAGAACAAAAATAACAATCTTGAATTACTCATCATTACTCAGCTTGAAAGACTTGGAAGCGCATCAATGGTTATATGGAGCGGTGAGGATAGTCCTGACTCGTCCTGACTTTTTTATCCGGAATTCACATGGCCAGCCTTGGTGTGAAGCTCCCGAAGGCTCATGGTGGAGCGCAAAGGCTGTGAAAAGCCCTTCTTGACAAACCTCTGAGTCCACTCAGCAAGTGGCACTAGTTTCATCAGTTTAGAAGTCTGTTTAGAAAGTTTATGAAAGTTGCCAACAAAATAAGCTGGTTGGCAGAACGGACTCAAAGAACGAAACGGTTGCCTCCAACTCATCCGATACAGCTGGGTCAAGCCTGTAGCCACGGCAAAAAATGACACAATATTATGTTTGCTTCGTGGCCCATCAAAGCAGCAGCAGCAGCAGCAGCATGCGCTCAAAGCAGCACCAAGCGCCTTGAGGTCAAATCAATGTGCACTCCAACCTGAAGGCGTTGCTAGTGATGCTAACAGCAACCTACCACCCATCTAGCAATAACTTCTAAAATCTATACCACAGCATGTGTGCCTCAGATGTCAAGCATTTCAGGTGCTCCATCAACACCTCACCAAGCAGAACCAGACTTGCACACTGACTGCCAAATGACCACTATCTGTGATGTAAGTCACATGAAATTTAAGCCGGCATAATTTCTGACCTCTTCATGTCTTGCACCCAGGATTGGCTGTAGGCAGCAGGTGGCTTCCACAGAACCGTCGACCCAAGGCATCCATTCCACTGCGGTGACCTCAGCCGTCATCAGCCACCCAGATCCCACAGTTGCCAACTCGTTTGAAGTCAACGAATCCTGATGGTAAATGGCTGCTTACGCATGCTTACGCTAGTCTTTGGGTGATTCTCCTTGCATTTCAGCAGCTCCAACTCCCAAAGCTGATGGAACTAGCCTGGTCCAACACCAAACGAAAAAAGAAAACAGCACAAACACAATCGAAAAGCGCCTCCCCCCAGGTTCCAGTAGCTCCTGTGAACTACGGCAAAGTGCAAACAAAGTTGAAGCACTGGTACTGATTCGACTATCAAACGCGCTTGTGCTTTGAAGAGACAAAAATACTAGCAAGAACCACCGCGCAAACAAAATGCAAGGTGACGAAAGCTAGCAGGGCGGGGGTGAAGCAGGTGACAGTCGGCACACTATTATGTCAGCGGAAATGGACACATCCCAGAGACGTCCCAGGGAGGAGTTGAACCCGCGGGCGGGGGCCCTCCCTACATATGAAGTTTTCACGCGATGCGGCGCTCTCGAGGATTCCAGCCCCTCAATTGCTAAAGCAAGAACAACTCCAGCTAGCTGGTGCTAGCTTTCGTGATTAGCAAAACCTACCGACACTAGTCGAGGATACACAAGACTTGAGAAGGGCATGAACCACTTGGTCAATGGGAGGTCACATATGGTCACGTATCAGCGGTTTTGAGTGGTGGCATGTGGTGGCTCAACAGTTGACGGGGTAGTGCAGTAGCGAATGGTGATAACAAGATCAAACGTATGGCTGTTGGTTGTCTGCAGTCAATTAATCGGTCGAAACAGCACAAACCGTGTGGAAAGTCAAATCTCACACTTTCGCAGCAAATGTGAGAACATTCAAAAGCAAAACCGTAAGGGCAGCAACTAACTGCCTAAAACGATCAACACTTCAAGAACATTTCTAGTACCCCGAAAGAAAAGAATCAGAAGCGCACAGTAGATAGAGACAAGATGAGACAAGAATAAGAAAGAAACTGCGAAAGAATTGTTGTCCGACTCAATCGAATCGATTGCTGGCTAGGATCAATTACTTGCTAAAGCAGGAAACGAGCAAGAGCCTGAAAGTGCTAGTGGCTGATGCTACCTTTAGTGGTGTTCAAGGTGCTGCAACAATATTCAGCAAAGGATGAATCTCCTCAAAGGCATGCCGCATGGTCTCCAAAAAATCCAAACCCAATGGCCTTGTGCATGAATTCGATTTGCTCATATACACTATATGATTATTATATATGTGTATAATTATATGTGGCCATTCGAATCACAATCTGCAGTTGAAGGCTTTGGACATGCCAGAGTGACCCACCAGATTCCGGGCGACATACAATGATGTCAGCTCTTGCCCCGTCCAGGAACTTCGGATGCCCTACCTCTTCACGGCAAGTTTCAGCTTCGGATAGGCACACGATGGACAAACAAATTGGTCAGGGCCTCCATTGCGGTGCTCAAAGCAGGGTTCTGAACTCGAACGGAAGGCTCACCAGGCCTTGTCAGCTCACACGGACTCAGCCACTTTACAAGCAAACTGTATATATATATATATATGATTATAATTGATCATATATGCTATTCGCATCTGAAAGGATGCAGAATCTAGCAGAATCTAGGATCCAGTTCATGAGTAAACTGAGTTGTTAGACTGTTCGACTGCGACTGCGACTCCAATACTTTGTCAGAGCGCTTTGTTGTAGTCCAAGGCGGCGACATCCTTGAGCCGCCAAAGAAGCGGAAATCGGCAAGACCTTTCTGCTTAAAAACCATCTCCAAGCCATGATCTCGAACCTGAGCTTGGTTGGCATATTAGATAATTTGAATGCATAGGCATAGCATAGACTCAAAAAGAAAGAACAAAGGAACAACGAGAGCAAGAGAGAGAGAGAGAGACGCAGAGAGAGAGAGAGAGAGACGAAGAGAGCGAGAGAGAGACAGAGAGAGAGAGAGGAAGAGAGAGAGAGAGAGAGCGCGAGCCAAACACACCCCACTTTGCCAACAAGGGCGCAGTTTCTTGGGCTAGCTCACGCAGATCTGGGATTGCTTCCACAGCCTCAACAGGGTCTTGACTGTCGTCTACATTCGATCCATCATTCAACTACATTCCTTGACAGGCTCTCCTCTATGCAACATGCCACCACTGCGGTTGGGTGGCCCACACTCGAGCACCATGAGAGGCTGCCCAGAGACTGAGAAGTGCTACTGGCCCGCAGTTCAATTCCAATACCCGAACCCTCCGATTCGGATCCGACAAGGCAAAGTCTTCAATGCCAGACCTTGAAGATCCAAAACACCAAAGACATCACTGGACCCATCTGTAATCTCATTCAATACAAGGAAAAAAGTCTTGCGAACACAAAAGTCATGCTAGTCATTACCAAAACAAGCTCAGGGGCTTCAGCAGTTCCAGGTAAGGCCCAATTGAGAGCTGCCCGAAATGTTCAAAGAAAGAAGGCTGGCGAGGAACCACTGCATGGTCTGCAAGTGTGGGCCAGGGCCAGCGACGGGTGCCTTCAAAAACGCCATGTTGGAAAACACAGCGAATGGGCTCATCACCTCGCTTTGGTCGCTGAGAGTGACGCTCCAGGCGATCTTTGACCTTTCTCCACAGTTCATCTGTCATCGTTCCCGGTACCAGATCGAATGGGCCAAAGCTGAGTAGCTTGTCTCGACGTTTTAAGGGAGTGCCGTGAACCGACGCTGTAAGCCTGTTGCTCTTCATGTCCAGCTTGCTTTGGAGTTCTTCCAAGACTCTTTCGTTCACAATCTCAACCTCGAACTTCATCAGACCCATCCGGTCGACGACACGTGGCTCGAGCATCTCAAAGTGTATTCTTGACAAAGAATCGCCAAAATGGATCCGAAAACGCAGGGCTTCCCCCTTCTCAACGCCAACTTCGTAGCCCAAATAGAAGACTGCTTGACGTTTTGTCGGCCATACATTGCTGTTGCAAGCTGCGAGAGTGGGACCAGTGTCAAGAAACGAGCCATCTGTACTGTACAAACGCCACCACACGCACATGGCATTAACATGACCATTTTGGAGGGCTTCGGCTTCAAAGTCTTTTTGCATCATCCGCTGCTGCTCCTGAAAAATTGTCTCGTTGAAATCAAAGGAGCAAACAACCTGTACCTGCCCAGCAAAGCGACAAATCACACCGTTCACATCGGCATTTTTGGATTCTGTGTCCAAGTCAACTGGCCACCATCCTGAAGAGTCCTGCTTCCGTGAGCGTTTCTGTTCCATTCCTGAAGTCTGACGACGCACAGCACGGCAAAGCTCACAGGCCTTAACTTGTGACACGTTGCGCCATGAACAAACCTCGCATTTCCATACCCTCCAACATGTGGGAGGCTCTTCTCGAGAATGGGCAGTGAACCTCAATGCATTTGCCTTTGATGTATCAAATCCAGCGCATTCAACACATCGAAGTTCCAATGGTGCACACACCAACTCAGCTTTTGCGGGTAAGCAAAGGACTTTGGACTCTGAAGACTTTGTCTTTTGAACAGCTGCAAACGCTGCGTCTCGTCCCGCCTTCATGGTTGTAATGAGCCGTTCACCCACCAAGTCCTCGGAGATGCGATCGCAAAGCAACAAACAGGTCGTGTCCCCACAGTCTTTCGGAATGAAAGGAGATGTTTTTGTGTCAAACGCGAACTCCGTGTCAAGCTGCCCTGCTGCCTGGACAAAGTCTAAAGAGACCTGGTGCTGTCCACTCGTGAGTTTTTGAGCGCTAGTCACCAAAAAGCCTGAAGGCTCCAGGATCGTGATCCTGCTGAGACCATCTGCAGCTCCGCTTGAGACTTTGGAGCATGCCTTGACTGCTGACATACTCCCAGTGCCCAAAACGGTGATGCAAAGAGGTGTTGGGGAATTCCTCTTGAGGTCGAGAATTGCACTGAGGAAGAAATCTGTCAAAGGCTCTTGATGCCGCCAGGCGTGCCCAAGACATGCAGCAAGATCCGTTGGAAGTGCTTCGGAGCTGGCAGATGTACCAGAATGCAAATCCCTCCAAACGTGTTGAAGCCTTGGAAGTGTGTATCCTTGTTGCCACAATGCCAAACGCCATGTCAAACCTTTTGGAGTTGGTTTAGGTTTCGGTGTAGCATCACATGTTTTTGAAGCATTCAAAGCAGAAGCATGGCTTGCCTGCACACTTGCCAAAGCATTCTTTGCCGCTCGATCCTCAGGGTCTTTCTCCAGCATGGCTCTGAAGCATTGCTCCGATGCGACGAAATCGTTGAGGGCTTTGTATGCCATCCCAAGTCGATATTGAACCTTGCAATTACCAGGCACCAGTTCCAAGGATTTGCCAGCATCCGCTTTAGCATCCTCCCATCTCTCGAGCTTCATATGCGCAAGCGCCCTGTTTCCAAAAAGTGCAGCTACAAGGTCCACATCTGAATCATCTGGGGGCAGCCAAGCCAAAGCAGCCGAGTACAACTCCCGAGCCTCTGCATAGCTTCCCTCTTTCAAGGTCTCATTTGCTTTTTGCTTGATCTCCTTTGCCTTTGCTTCTCTGTCCTCTCTCCGCCATAAATGTGGTTCTATCCCAGATTTTACCTCAGCCGCCTCTGCCTGCCCGGCATGCAACTCCTCCTTGTCTACGATGACCGTCTCGTGCTTTCGTGATCTCGCAGCTTCCCTTATTGCCAGTGTTGAACCCTCCCGAAGGCCTTGGGCAGAAAGCTCCTGGTCTAAGTTCAACAGATTTCCATCAGGTCTTCGGCACTCGAAGCCATCCAGCTTGATCCTATGCACGGCCGACAAAGTGCGCAGATCTGACCACACCTTTCTCCCCAAATCGTTAGATCTCACGCTAATGCACTCTCTCCTGCCTGCAATATCCAAGAATAACGAAAGTCCTGTGCTCTCGCCGGTCTCGCCCACTGATCGCTCTGAGCCCATCACAGGACTATCTATTGCACAATTCCAAAGGAATAGTTGGCAAAAATGGCTACAACAGGGAATGTGCGAATGCGCAAACTAGGACTAGGTTTGACTCTTGTTCCAGAACCTTTGTTTTGACATAATCAGGCCGCTTCTCTGTCGCAAAAAAGTGTGCTGAAGCAAATAAACAACATGTGAAGAAAAATGAGGATGTGTACGAGATCAAAAATTACTTCAATATAGAAAACGCCACCATTCCACCCGCAACACCTGCAGAGCAACAATAACAAAAAACACCTATAGCCTATATACTATAACATTATATTATATTGTTATATCCGACTATATAGTGCTAGGCTCCTCACGTTTTGCCAGCAAAACATCGGGCGTACATGAAAAATGTGTGTAAGCTGCTGCAAAATGCTACAGCAGTTTGTGCAGTAACTCATTGGGAAGCTGCCCTGCTCTCGAAACAAGATTACAGGCACCCACAACAGCCGCAAGCCTGTCTTCCACCCCAACGAAACTCTGGCTCGACTCTAATCGCTACAACCTGCTAACATGCATTTGCAGTCAGCACTGTGGAGAATAGTCAGAAGCTGGACGCATATGCAGTATGCACATCAAGAGTTCGCATTGCTTGCTGTGCCTTGTAGCAAAAAGATCAAAAAAGGCACAAGCCTATGTGAATAAGGAGCAACAGCGTAGCGGCAAAACGATTTAAAGTTGATGCCTTCGCCGCTTCGCAAGATTCTGTGGCCTGAAGTATGTGTCCAGCCTTTACATACTCTTCCTCTTGAAGGAAGGATGAGGACTGCACACGTCTAGCTGAGTGAAGCCAGACGGGAAGAGTGCCAGTAGTTTAGCACTCCTTAGCAATGGTAGGACTCCTTGAAAACAATGCAAATATGCTTAAAGACATCATCAAAATCCACGTGATGTATCAGGTCTGCGGGTTTTGAAGCACCCTCAATTTGCGTTGTTTCCAGTCCCTTCATTTTTCTGCCGACTGGCGGTGCCCCTGGCAATGGCCCATGATTCCAAAGAAAACTTGTTGAATATCTTATTGACTCTCTTTGATACCCTGGCCTGCCAATGTGGAACGTGTGCTATCTGAAGCATCTCGGCCTTGTCCGAAAATGATCGAAAATGTAGAAAGCATCTGAGTGAATTGAAGATATTGAAGTCTTCCGTTCGGCATCTAGTAGCGATGGCCTCCAACCTAGTAGCGATGGCCTCCACATATTTCTTTCAACCCCAGACACCTGAAATCCCGCATCGAGCTCTTCAATGATACCAGTCCGGAGTTTGACTTCAGCTTGGGCAGACCTCAGCCAGGTCAACACATTGACATCGGTCAACGAACATTCGAAGGATGCCAAAGGTATCAAGATGTGTCGTGCCTGGACGTGGTGAAGAATCGGGCTTCGGGCCTTGAATCAGTGCAATAAGGCAACACTTCTCACCATATACTGAAATGACAGTCCGCTCCAAATGTTGTTGATGTCGTGTTCAGATGTATCCAAGACCAAGAGCTGCTCTAGATGGCTCTCGAATGACCTGGAACTCCGGCTCTTCAACAAGCCTGCCATACTCGCTTGGCTCACAATACTTTCAGATACTCTTTCAGATACTTTCAGGCTCAGAACTTGATTATGTCTTTCAGAACGCCGGATGCGCTTGGAAAGTCGATACGGATCCTTTGCATCGTTCCAGAGCATATTTTGAAACCTTGGTCCGCCGCTGATGGTACGGCGGAGGTGTGACGTCTAGAACTTCATGACACTACGGCCATGCATGACGTCTATGGCATGGTGTGTACTACTAGTATCAAGTGCATCGCTACTAGTAACAGGTGCATCGCTACTAGTAACAGGTGCATCGCTACTAGTAGCTAGAAGCTACTAGTAGTAATGCGGGTACTACCCCAAAAATCAGTTGACATCCAGTCATCAAGGCCCCGTTCTACAACAAGCGTTCTGACCTCCCTCAGAGTCTAGTCATCTCTAGACTTTAGACCATGTAGCACTCCACAAAAACCGGGTCCAAGACTTGTCATCTTGCTGCAGTCGACCACCAAGGCCCTGAAGTCGTGCTCGCTGCTTCTTGTGCCAAGTGCAGAAGTGTTCCGGCCTTCTTGAAAAACGCCCGCCGTGCCTCAATGGTGGCAGCACCAGGAGAAGATAGAAACTCTGATATTGATTTAATGAATTAGAATGATACCGATACCTATTGATACCTAATGATCCCCTCAGTGCAGTCTTCTGATGTTATGCAAGGTATGAAGCAAGCAAAACGAATGCTCAATGCAAAGGGCATGGCTAAATACATGCTCAAAAATCTAGGAACCAAATCACTAGTGCGACCGTGAGCTATCCATGCTATCCTGTGTCCATACTAGTAACTAGTAGCGTCCTAGTAGCGGCATCTACTTAAGTAAGAAGGCAGGACCACGGGCTAAAGGAAACAGTATAGTAGTAGTAGATCTGCAGAGCGAGGGACCGTCTCGAGGTCTGGAGTGGATACACTCATCGCGCGTTTCGGGGGCAATGGCCTTGGTAGGCGTTTGGAGACAAAGAATCAGCACATCTTCTGCAAACAAAGTGGTAATTAACTGGTGCAAACACATAGCCAATCATTAATATTTCTTTGTGTGCATCTGCTGAAGCCAGTGCGTCACATCCCGCAGAACAATCTGCTTGAGACCTTAGCCAAAGTTGCATCGCATGAAATTCTAGCTTCAGGGAGCTGTTTTGCGCCAAGAGACAGCCGCAGCATAAAATACCCTGCCCATTCGGAACCACTCTGAAGGCATCTGGGTCTGACCTGCACACGGGTCAGAATGCAAGCGTTGAGAAGCTTTGGCCAGATTTGCTTGTCAAGATCAACCAAACCAGTTTAATCAAGCCCGTGACCCACTGCCAGGGCGTGCTGAGGTCGCATTCAATGCATCTTGTGTGATGGCAAGCTTTGACTGTATCGCCTACCGGGCAGAGGAGTTCAATTACCTGAAGGAGTTGACACAAGTCACAACATGTCCTATCAAAGCTGAAACATGTATGAGCCGCCCATCACCTTGAGTTGCTTTTGAAGAACTTCCTGCAGAGTCACTTTTGTAGGTTGACCGAAAACAACAACAACAAAAACATGTTCAAATTTTAAGCAGGCCTTTCTCTTATCTTGCCTCAAAGATTTCCAACTAATCACTTGTGGAACTTCTGGCAGATTGAAGTACAAGGCAAAACGCAAAGCTTTGTGTTCTGTCCGTCTCATTGTCGTATTTCTCTTGTAGCTCATCCAGCTTGTCCTGGACCTAAGGAGCACAATGAAGCAATCCAAACATAGTGACAGCCTCCACCTTCTAGCGGTTGGCACTGCCAACCTGAAAGAAAAAATCTGAAAGGGCTGGGCCTCTTTGAGTCTACGGTGCCACTCATCCTCGCAATTCCCAAGAACAGTCCACTTGATCCGCTTCAACGATTTGCAATTGATTCCGCTTCAGTCCTCATGAGCCTTTTGAGCTGCCTTTCTTCTGGCAATTGATTCTTCATCAAGACCTGCTTCCTCGTATCAACTCATACAGTCATACCCTCGCCTGTGTCCGTGTAATTACTCCAAAAAACATTATATCAAAAAGCAAATTCTGTTCGACCTCCTTGATGTACTCGAGCTCCGCAAGCGCGGAATCAATCCTTACAGCTTTCCATGCGGTTTCTGATGTCTGGAGCCATCAGCCAAGCAATGAAATGCCATGCAATGCTAAGCCAAATAGTGCACAACAAATAGTGTCCTCTGTCTCAAGTCATCCCGCTCTGCCACAACTTGATCAAGCTCCACTTGAAGAGTATCTCGGCCTCAATTCATTGGAGTAAAACATAGACAAAGGCGGTTGGTGTTTCTCACATTGTTGGTGCCCCAACGCTCTGTGGCTTCAACCAGCGCTTCCTCAGTCTCCTTGAATGAAGGTATAAATGTGCAGCATGAATCAATATGACCAAGGTTTATGAACAAGGCGCACTAAGAGGAACAAACAGTTATAAAATATTCAGCGCAAGTTATCGCATTCATCTTGGATCCAAATGGTGTCCTTGAGCTTCTTCCTTGTTCGCTCCAATTCATTCTCCAGCACCAAGCTCGGGTGGATTCCACACCACGCTCGCAACGCCTTGCAAGAGTTGTCTGATCGTTTCCTTGAACATCGAACCTGCGCTTACTGCTTACATCTGCTTACCACTTACCATCGCTTACCTGCCCCTTGGTATTCGTAGACGTCCCTCCTTTAAAAGTAGAAGCAAAAAAAGAGCAACAAGTAGATGAAAAGTGATTTTTAGAAAAACATAGAAAGCAAATGGCAAATATAGACAGCCATCAAATATCATCAAATATGTGCGAGTTCTCGGAGTCCAGGTCTCCGAACATGACCATGCGCCCAGGGAAAGGTGTTGGTACTGAGCGTACGCTCCTCAAAGCACGTCTCACAAATCGAGAGCAATTTGGCAAGTCGCACTGTTTCGACCGTTGGAAGCTAGTGACATCTTACACCCAATGAGTCAAAGTGGCATCAAGCGGGTAATTACCGCCACATCTTCAAGAGTCTTCAAATTAATTGACTTCTCTCGAACTTGACAATTTCTGGACTGCTTGCGACAGCAAGTTCGAGCTTTCTTTCAGCATTCATCGAGCTTGAGACACCGAGCTGAGGCTTTAGCCAGAAAGTGCTGTGCCGCTTTTTTGATCTTTCCACGAAGCTGCTCCACCTGAGCCTCGAGATTGCTCCCAAAGGAACACGCATTGAAGCGACTGCAAAGCCGAAGAGCAACACATCGCACAATCTTTCTAGGTATGAAGGTATTGCCATCGCACAATGGCAATCCACAACTCTAAGCAAATGTGTAGAATGACAGGCATCAATTCATGGATAGCAACAGGAAGCGCGCGTACCTGAAGTCTAGCAATGTGTGCCCTATCTGCTGCAAGCAGCACTTCTAGCTCCCCAACCTGCAGGCGAATGAGTACTGCATAGGGTCTCTTGCTGAGCTCTGCCAACGGAACAAGGCTGCTAAGTTCATGGCATGCTAATGTCAGGATAATGCACAGCTTGCTGCAATTGTTGATGCGGTTAAAGCCTCCTTTCGCCGTCGAGCTTCCAAAGCGTCCAATTTCTTCTCGTACACTTCCTGCCACAGGGATGTTCAATGCAACATTTGCTCAATTACAGCTTCGATCGGCTTTGCGCCTTTGTTATTTCAAGCTTCCAGGAGTCCAATGCTGTCTTCACTTCACCTTCTTCTTGTCTCCTCATATTATGATCTCTGCTCAGCAAGGAGCAGCTTTACGTCTAGCGCAACAAACTGGCTTCATCATTTCGTTGCTGATGCTTGAAAAGTCTGTGATGATCGCACAATGCACCGCAAAAATTACTCAGCTTTCGGCTTTCGTAGCTCTTGTTGCATCTTGGTAAGCCTGAGACCAACTGAGAGCGCTTGAAGAAAGCGTGGGATTACAACAAAGCATAGCAAAACAAGCTTCCATATTATAACTTGCAAAAGTGATTCCGAATACTTGCAGGGTTGAGGAGCTAAGACATACTAGGCACGAAGCATCAGTAGTCTCCGCCGCTTCAGCACTGCAATCACCTCTCTGAGCTGTCTAGCATCCTTAGAAATGTCACCAGTTGAGGTACTGGAATGTCTGGAGTCAAAATTGCGAAGGTGAAGGAGCAGGCGCTCACACACACACAGCCTGTGTAAGGCCAGGTGTAACCTGCTGCAAAGGCTGCTTGGTGCTAGGGCCAAGGCCAGGAGTGAAGCAATAAGACCACCTTCGCGGTCAGAGCTTACAAAGCTCGAACGCTCTAGCTCCTGCACTGCAGCTTGCATACGTGCCACGTTCAAAATACACGTTTTTTCTTGACTTCGCACCTCATCTTGACGTTCTGATTCGCATCTCGAAACCAAAAAGCTTGGACAAGCCGGTAGTCCATGGACAACCATGGAGAAAGCAGTTTTCTCTCCTGGAGCAGCCTGTCGTTCTCTATCCTGGCCTGCACAGGTTCCAATCACAAAGGAGCCTCTCGTTTGGGCTTGACTTGTGAACTTGTCAACCAAACTTTGAACATAAAGCCACAAGATGCCAGAAGGCATCCGGAGCCTTTGAGACCTTATCTCTCCACCTTTGTTCTGCCTCCTCCATGTACTCGATCCTGCAGTTTGCAACAATGAGACCCAAAGTGTGTTGAATGTGTGGTGATATGTCTCACTGTCTCTCATCTCGGCCTGTCAGTAGCATCATCCAACTCCTCTTGGAGCCTATCACGCTCGTCCTGATCAAGGGTGAGATGAGTGGATCTGATTCGTGGCTCCATGGGTCACTCTGGGTCACTGTCCCAGTTTCTTACTTGCACAAAACGACTTTTGCGTTTCTCATTCTCGCAGACCCCATCTCGTTCCGCAACTCATTGCCAAGCTTCTGGGTATGCGCTATGCAGATCTACGCAGTCGATGTTTTGAGGGGATCTCCTTTCGGTGAAATATCCTTTGCGTTTAAGTTGAAGTACGAAGCCTCTTATATGAAAGGCATTGAAAGGCGATCTTGCTTGGGGCGGACCAATTAGAGCAAGCTACCGTGTTTCTTTTGTGTCAGCAATGCCTTTCCGATTGCTGGTGCCTATCTTGTTTGGTGTCAAAATGAAAGGATACCTATAATTAGTATGAGCCAATTGAGTTGGACAGCAAAAGGCCGAATCAACTTGAAGTTGGAGTCGACGAGTTGGACTCAAAATGGCCTAAAGGAGTTTGCGTCTCAACCGCAACCACTCTGACATTGGTAAGAAGACGAAAGCACCCACCGCACAATTGTGCCAAGGTCATTATAACAAACAAAGATCAGACCAGTAGCCACCCTATTAGCCGCATTGCGTTTAGGTGATTGTAGACATTGAGGTTTGCTGCATCACTTCGGACGTGGACATGGCGTAAGGCTCACTTAGGCTCCCACCACGAGTGTTCTAGACTGATTCTCCATATCCTCCAGCCGCTTTTCAAGCCTGAACAGCCAGGGTCACAGGCGTCACTGTTCCAACTTGTGCTGATCTCTCGACTTACAAGAGAATCAATCTGAGAAGCGTGCTCTTGATTTCTGTCTTCCAGCTCCTTGCCCGATCCATCTAACTGAAATACTTGATGAATTGCACAGCATATTGCCGTTGACATCACCGGAAATTGCTCTCCGTCAGCCTGAAGCTGGTCTGCCTGCCGCTCCACGGTATCTCTGCTGTCTGCCTCGCTGGCAGCTGGCCTCGAACAACTGAAGCTAACTTTGCACTGGCTCTCTGCAAAGGCATCTCAACACTTTGTTTTTTTAGCCCGTGGCACTGCCTCCTTACTTGATTTAGTAGGCGCCTAAGTGCCTACTTAATTAAGGGAGAAGTTCGCTCCTAGCTACTAGGACGCTGTTAGTATGGACGCAGGATAGCTCATGCTCCTTCAAAGAAGCTCCAGGGAGCTCCCTTGAAGAAGCGCTCGCACTAATGATGTGGTTCCTAGATGTTTGGGGAAGAAAGCAAGTGTGATCTTAGTCGGTCGGCCCTTGAGTTTCTCCTTTCAGAAGATCTTCAGGAATCTCCTGGTCAACAAAAAAACACACACACCAAGAAGCGGAACACACTCGAAACCAATCAGCTGATCTTAGACGTTCTAAGAATCACTTCGTAAATCTTCATCATACAACAACCATCTGCTCTGTCTTGCACAAAAGGGCAAACAAACACTCCCTAGAAAAATCATGGAAGTGTAAAATTTGCCCTTGGATTACCATTTCCTCAACAACAGGTGGTTTTCCACTTCTACGACACTATGATTATTCCAGGGAGTGTGCTGCCAATGGATGTTTGCAGTGAAAGATCCAGCCTCTCCAGCGTCCAACGCCGCCTGGATGGCTGCTCGCCGCTTCGCCTGCCACATGAGTTGAATTTAGTATGTGTATATAATATATATAATTTATAATATATATAATATAATATAATATATATATACAATATATATATAATATACACAATATATATATATATCATATATAGATATTTGTTTTTCCTCATAAATCTTGATCAAACTGCTATTTAGTTTCTCTGGTGCCAAAGCGTGCCAACTGTGTCGAGCAATGTAGTCCAGGGGGCAGCACAGTCGAGTACAGGTCTTCTATGTAGGTTGGCTTCTACTGCGGTTCTTTCTTAAGAGAGCTATCAAGGTAAGTCAAGTCACTGCACAACCAGACAGTCTTTTCATGGAATAGATAATAGGGCACCATCTTGAATCTAGCACACGCACGCCCATGAAAAAGGAGATATCAAGTATCAATATGCTTAAACGTCAAGAGAGGTATAAGGCTGCATATGGCATGAGCAGCATGAGCTGTGTCCAAAGCTGAAAGTAGCTGTTTCCTTTTCGAGTTTAGCAAGTTCAATGCCCGCCTCTTCCTCTTTCTTGGACCCTCTGTCTATCCCAGCCTCAGCTTGAATCGCAAATATGCCCTGTGATTCAAAGAAGAACCCAATATAGAAATTATGAAAGAGAGAGTTTATAGTAGCGTCCTTGCTCCTAGTAGTAATGCCCTTGTTCCTAGTAGCGATGCCCTTTGTTCCTAGTAGCTTCTTGTTACTAGTGGCGACAATTTCGACGGCGTGAAACACATAAATTTGTGCGTGTGGCTCTTGCAAAAGTCTTCTTCGTAGCCACCTAGCAGAGTGGCATTGTTGCAAACATGTATGTCACATCCTGTCATTCTGCCTGCTAACTTATTGCTACATGACGTGTATTTATATATATATATAGCTAAGCAGTATATGATATGTTAGATCTTCAATATTCATATAAACTTGCTTATGTATCAACAAGTTCATACAGTTTCTACCTGGTTACCATCTGGTGTAGAAAGTAATTGACCGTGGGCCTTGGACTCTCGAGGATACACTGGCCAACCGCAGTGGTTGCACCTGGCACACCGATTTCATCTGACGATCTCTGTGGTTCTCCCTGTAAATCGCCACGAGCCAAGCCAAAGATGCTGACATCTTCTGTTGCAGCCGGGGGACTCTACACATTTTGGAACTGTCAGAGGATCTAAATCCGCTCCATCAGGAGAATCCTGGAAAGGCTACGGCTTTGCTCAAATGGGTTGCTCTTCTTGTTGTCCATGCAGGTCATGTTTTAGCTTCATTGAAAATGAAGGAATAAAGGATATGATATATATATATATATATCTGTAAGCGGAAACATGTTTGTTGATGGTCAAACCTGACTTCGCCTGCAGCTCCGTGAACTTCGCTCTCAACATGCGAGCATTCTCGACCTCAGAAAAAGTTCACTAGGATATCCCCTAGTAGCGTCCTTGCTCCTAGTAGCGATGCCAGGAGCTCCGAGTAGCTCCTTGTTACTATATAGTAGTAAGGCCAGGAGCCCCTAGTAGCGTCCTTACTACTATGATTCTGATATAGTATAATAGGATTGCAACAAGGTGGGCTTCCAAACACACTCAGACGGCGGTCTTAGTCACCCGCCCGTGTCACCGGTTTGTTCTTTTTGGCGGCGGCCAACAGAAGCTGCAAATTCTGCATGGTCTGCGCCTCCAAAAGTTTGAGCATGCAGATAAAGCTGTTATCCAGAATGCACACTTGCATCCTGACACCACCTCGTTCTTATGCTGCTCTGCCTTCGCAGGGATATTGCGGCCGCTGGAGGCCATGCGGGTGGTAAGCTGCTTGGTACTTGGAAGCGTATGATGACCGCCTTCAGCAAGCGTTCTTTCTCGAGAGTCGAAAAAAAACGAACCCGAATGCAAACACGTTCGAAAAGCTATATGCATATGTCCAAATGACACTCTTGTAGGACACTCTTGTGGGACTCTCTTCTGGGACACTCTTGTGGGACACTCTTGTGGGACACTCTTGTAGGAAACTCTTGTGGGTCACTCTTGTAGGACACTCTTGTGGAACACTCTTACAGGCCACTCTTGTGGGACACTCTTGTAGGGCACCCTTGTGGGTCACTCTTGTAGGAAGCTCTTGCGGGGCACTGTTTTGGGACACTCTTGTAGGACACTCTTATGGGGCACTCTTGTAGGACACTCTTGTGGGTCACTATTACACGACACTCTTGTAGACACTCCTTGTGGGACACTCTCATAGGACACTCTTGTGGGTCACTCTTATGGGACACTCTTGTCGGACATTCTTGTGGGACACTCTTGTGAGACACTCTTGTAGGACACTCTTGTGGATCACTCTGACAGGACACTCTTGTGGGACACTCTTGTGGGACACTCTTGTGGGACACTCTTGTAGGACACTCTTGTAGGACACTCTGATGGGTCATTCTTGTAGGACACTCTTGTGGGACACTCTTATAGGACACTCTTGTGGGACACTCTTGTGGGACACTCTTGTAGGACACTCTTGTAGGACACTCTTGATACCACAAATCATCCCGCTCACCAGCGACACGCCGCGTTTATGCCAGCATGTTTCGCGCTCCCCAGTGGCACGGCGCCACGCAAACGCACTTTCCACCAAGGCCGCGCAAATCCCAATGGCACTGCGACATCACGAACGTCGCGTCGCCACACGGTCTGCCCACACACTTCAAGCAAACATGTCACATGATACCACAAATCATCCCCCTCACCAGCGACACGCCGCGTTTACGCCAGCGTGTTTCGCGCTCCCCAGTGGCACGGCGCCACGCAAATGCACTCTCCACCAAGGCCGCGCAAATCCCAATGGCACTGCAACATCACGAACGCCGCGTCGCCACACGGTCTGCCCACACACTTGAAGCAAATATATCACATGGTATACCACATATCACCCCGCTCACCAGCGACACGCCGCGTTTACGCCAGCCTGTTTCACGCTCTCCAGTGGCACGGCGCCACGCAAACGCACTTTCCACCCCCTGCGACATCACGAACGTCGTGTCGCCACACGGTCTGCCCACAAACTATAGAAGCAGTCACGCGAGCGTTTCGTACGAGACTTCCTCCAAAAGTCACGCTTCGAGGCTGCAAGACGAGCGTTTCGTACGAGACTTCCTCCAAAAGTCACGCGTCAAGTCTCCCAAACGAGCGCTTCGTACGAGACTTCCTCGAAAAGTCACACATCAAGTCTCCAAAACGAGCATTTCGTACGAGACTTCCTCAAAAAGTCACACGTCAAGTCTCCAAAACGAGCGTTTCGTACGAGACTTCCTCAAAAACTCACACGTCAAAGTCTGCAAAACGAGCGTTTCGTACGAGACTTCCTCCAAAAGTCAAGCGGAAACACCCATCGGAGCACACACATCACGCAGTCCTGCCAAGCAGTTTCGCGATTCCAGCCCCTCCAAACAACACCCGCTCACACGCCAATCCCAATGTGACAGCGACATTCACCTCTACAGCTCACAACCTCACGATTCCCTGCGCCTGCCACGAATCTTTCCGCGTCCACACGTCTACGAAATGTGACCTCCGTCACACCTCGCAACCTCACGATTTCCTGCCCCTGCTACGAAAACCGCACTTCCACACCTCGAAACCCGCACAAAGTACTGCGCCTGCCACGAAAAGTGACCCTACCGTCTCATGTGAGCTTCCACAAAATTTGCACCACACCACACGTTTGGAATGACTTCGACCCGTTCTGAGCACACTCCCATCCACCAAAATCGCCATTTCAGCTGAGACTTGTCACGAAAGCAGAGCTTCGATGCCACACCCTGAAACGCAAATCCCAATGGCACGGCCACATCCAACACCCCAAAAACACCACTCTCCACACGCTAATCCCAATGGAACTGCGCAGCAAACTGCGGATCTCACAAAACGCTGCGCCTGCGCAGTGAAATCATCCTCCACACTTCAACATCTTACATTTCCACACGATTCCTCGCTATTTCACAGGAATCTGACACGTCACGTTTTCATCCGAAACCCTCTCCAAAAGCTTCCCCCGAACGGTTGCGAACATAGAAACAACGGGTCGCGAACAAGGCTCTACCCCCAGACCCCCAGAGTTAAACGAGAACCCTTCGCTACGCATTCGGGAAAAAGAAAGTTCCTGTGTGCTTCTCGCACAAGTGCTGATTTATGATGCTTTTATGTTACATGCACATCAAGTTTCAGGCTCATCTTGGCCGATTTCCTTGGCGTAAATTTCCAGTCGCACAGTTCCATCTGAGGGCAGTGTCAATGAGGCAACATTGCTAAGCTCGCTGCTAAACCCACGTGCCAACGTGGCAGGACCGATCTATGTACAGTAAGTAGCTGTACAGTCTACAGTAATATGTGCAGCTGGTGGAATGCTTGGTATTGAGTAGCGTTTCAAGCTAACAAAACTCGTTAGAGAATCTTAGAATCACTGGGAGTAAAATGATTATAGAATCAAAAGGCTGGCTGGGACTAGTGACTGCGCCTCTTCAGAACCTTTTAGATGTGGGGCCCGTGCGACTGGTTTTCATCATTCACTGAAGTTGTGAAACGAAAGTACACTAGGAGCCAAGGCAGTGTCAGCAATGAGATCAAACACAACAAATCAACAATATTCGAAAATCGTATGCCGACTCCAAGTTCAGGCTGGAAGCATAATAATGGGTAGTCCGCTGCAATGGTAGGGAGTATCAGCGGGAATGCATTGCAACTGACGCTTTCATGGTTGGGCTTCCCGTAGCTCTTGGTCCATAGCATATGCCTCAACAAGTTCCAGCAGCTCGATCTCTGAGATCCGCAAGCGTAAAGCCAAAGACTCTCTCTCAATTTTCTGTGAGAAAGCCTCTTTGCTTAGTCCCTCTAAAGTCCTCTTGTCCTCCTCAAGGGATGCAGGAAATTCACTTTTGCGCCGTGTGATGGCTTGCTGCAGTACTTTGTAAGCTGATGCTTCAAGCTCGGGTTGCTGCCGCTGAATCATGTCCTCAGCATTCTTGGGCAAATCTTGATCGTCCAAGGCAAGAATTCTTAGGACAGGCATCAGTGTTGGCTCCCATTCGCGTGGTCTCCGTGAAAGACGGAAGATTGCAATTTGGGGCTCATCATTCAGAAGTTGCCCTATGAGCTGAAGCTGTGAAGTGCTTGCAGGCAAGTGATCGGATATTCTAATGTAAACTGCCTCTTGGCCGTTGTCAGGATCCACAAATCCATACTGGGACAAAAGTTGTGCGTTGCTCTTGCCGCCATAACTAACCCACACTTGCTCACCCGCTTCATAATGCTTGTGTGCATATGCCACAATGCCGTTGCCAAAGCGAGTGAGCTGTAAAGCCCCGGCTTTGTGGTTCAAGAAATCCACAAGCGGAGCTATACAAAGATGAGTTCCATCAGCATCATCACCGTATGCTCTGGACGCAACATTGGCTGCTCCCCATAAATAGTTCTCAAACGTGAAGGTAGTCGGGGGAAAGGTGTCAGGGTTCTTGCTGAAAAGGGTGCGATTCAACGATTCATACTCGTCTATGATTGTGTTGTACATTTGAAAAGCTGCATGATAAGCGTCGCTCCCTTGCAAGCATTCCAGCTCTTCTTCTGCCCACAGAAAACTGGGACCTGAGACATCACCATCAAACCTAGGCAGAGTTTGCATGTAGACTTGCCACTTGGAGGCAGAGCCGTGTACAAAACGTTCTTGAATCAACAACAGTATGAGTGCCAGTCGATCTGACAAGTCCTCCACCAGCGAGCCCCAGAGATCAACCGCCTTGCCCTTGCTCAAAAGGAGCGATGTTGGTGCCCAGGCAAGGATGTCACCTGCTACCAATGGTGCTGTCGTAATCAATCCAAGCTCCCCTTTGGCAAGATCCTCAGTTGCGGCAACTTTGACCTGAATATCTGAGGTATCCATGCCAGTACTTTTCACCCAATCAAACATCTCTGGCCACAACTCTGCGTCGGACCGCCTTGAGTCATATCTCACTGATTTCCAACGCGGGGGCCCAAGGCCCTTCGCACCACAAAGACTAACCCATGCAGGGCTTGGCACTATTGACTTCAGTAGGAATGCATTTGCTACCACCAGCAGGACCAGCGTGAGATGTGTTTTTGCCCCACGCTTCATGCTCTGCCGGAGGAAATTGAATGTGAACAATGAAGGTACAAAAACCTTACCAAACAGGTCTTTTTTGGTACGCGGGTGTGATGTGCATGAGTCCTGTGTATATGCATATATAAGCATATATAACTACATTCTATGTGTGTATATATATATATATGTGTAATATGCAAGATGACAACGTGACTTATTTAGCACGTCTGCTCCCTGTCTGTCTGAAACTGGGCCAAGATGTGACAGTGCAAAGCTATTAAAAGCTATGCAAACAAAAAAAAGACTCCTCCAACCTACTACTAGCAATGCCTCCAACCTAATAGCGCCTCCAACCTAGTAGCAATGGATATATAGTGTATATTCTAATTTGACTTAATTCTAATTACTAAGTCTTGTTTCTACTAGCTTCTTGTTATATACTACTAGTAAGGCACTTGTTACTAGAAGCGATGCACTTGTTCCTAGTAGCAGACTTACCAGCTCTCTTCCTCTTCACCTTTTCGTCCGTCTTCGTCGGATCGCTATGCCTCACATTTGACACCTGGCAGCCAAAGCAATCTTCAAAGTGTCCAATGAAGCCGTATGCAGTATGCTTGTAGTTCTTTAACAGTGCCGAATGCATGTAGCCCATGTAGCTTCGCTTTTGTCACATGTCCCAACACACTCACGTGCCCCCTTAATCCTCTGGGGAGTTGCTGCCAGCTCCTTGACTTGCGCCAGTGATTGGCAACTATAAATTTGACAAATGATGCAATGTGAATACATGTTGCAAATTGCGACAAAGTCCACAAAGAGTGGTGAAGCAGCACAGCACAAGAAGCAAGGGTCAAGCGAACACCGCCCAGCAAGACAGAAGTTGGGCTAGTGCTAGGTGGGCTCGGAGCAACTAGCAGCTAGCCAAAACTTCATAATTCCAAGCGAGCTTGCAGCGAGCCTGTTGAAAAATTGTGGAACCCAATTGTGCAAAATTGTTGGGTGATGCTTCAGGACCAAGCAATGCTTGGCGCTAGCGCATTTGGCTGCGTAGACCAAAGCCCTCCCAATGCAATGAATTGCAAATCCAAAAGGTCACTGTGAATGAGGGCGTCAAACTGTCAAACCATAAATCACTCCAAAAAGCATGGCTCACGTCATGCATGGGTCTTCCTGCTCTTCTGCTTGCACTTGGAGTGTTTGATCAACCCTCTCGTCTCGAAAACTTCCGAGAGAAACGCGACATGCCGATGGGCTGATCGCTTCAAAAAGCAGACTTTGCTGGACTATGCTGAACACTGAATCGCTTCTTGTCCTGGTGAAGATGTGGCATGCCAATTCACATGAAATCCGCCAGGAAGAGAAACAAATAGAAGTAGAATATACTACAAGTATCCACAAGTACTGTACATCTCACAGACACATGCAATGTACGTAGCGCTCTGAAGTATTCTGAAGTCAAATATTATAAAGTGATTGGCCTGCACATTGGATATGTAAAGCTACTTCTTTTGTTAAATTTGTTGTCAGCACGCGAGGGCTGTCCAGGAATCGACACTTGGTGCAGACAAAACGAACAAGTCGCAGCTTTGGCTCCGGGAAAGGCCAGGAAATGCTTCCTGGAGTTAAAAACTCTAGCAAGACGCAGTAAGACGGTTAGACTGTGATTTGATGTGATTTGCACCACCAGCCATCAAAGAAGGTTCGCTTGAAACAAACTCAAAACTGAGAGCAGATTCAACTGATTACACTGAACAAAAGTGATGATCCCATGATGTCAAATGCCCATTCTTCGACGGCTCTATATTATTTTCCAGGCATAATGCCCCAGAATTCTTGTGTGATTTCAGATTTCAGCATGAGAAGGACCCAACCTCGACCCCCATGTCTGACGTTGAACAATCATAACACATCAGAACTCTCTCAAACTGTTAACAGCAGGGCAGAACAGCTTGTCACTGACATCTGAGGCAGCTGCAAAGACTCCTGTCTTGCGCTGTCCTGCGGCAACAGCACGTTCCATCACCAACTGATCAAGTTTTCTCACGAACAAATCCTCCTCGTATCATCTTTGTGCAAGCAAATAGATACTACATAACAAAGAAAATAACTACTGTATGTGAAGCTGAACAAAAGCTCAAACGTGTCTGCGCACAGCGCACACTCCGTGCACAAAACTCTCCACGTTCACTCTAACTCAACTGAAGTTGGCAAAAGCTCCTGTAGAAAGCGATTCTCCCTTAGAGAGTGCTTCGATTCCGCAGGGCCTCCTGTGCCAAAACAGTCGTACAAAATAAAGTCTATGCTCACCATCAGTCCTTTCGCCCTGCCTCCATCGTGCGAGCCCTGAACGACAGCAGGCCAGCACTTGTCAAGTTTTTGTCGTGTTTCCTCTACAGTAATTAGTACTTAGTTATCCCAAAAGTAGATAATTTTCCCAAAAAACAAATGTTGAAGGGCCTTGAAAGGGTAGCAAGATCATGCAAGATCTATTGGCAAATAAGCACATTGGCATGTAATGCATTATGCATGTGTACTGTACGGTCCATAGCCGTTCGGAACACTTGTGGCCACTCTATTCTATGTGCTTCGGGTGCTACATTCGATAGATGCTGGATGGATGCCGAACAAATTACAATTCTCCCTTTGCTATGTTGCTTGCATTGGTCACCTAGGCTGCACAAAGAATACATACTTTTTGCCTTCATCTTCGGACTCCAAACCATCATTTAAAAAAAATAAAAAAAACTGACTCGGATATCTCCCTGACTCAACTCTTCCAACCTCTAGCCTCGTGCTGTCTCCGACCTCTTTCAAATGTCGTAGTAGTGATAGCCTGAACAGTGCAAGCGAAAACATCAAGTAACAAACAACGCAAGGAAATCAAGGAACATCTGCAACTTCAAAGGTTTGAATTTGGGGCAGCAGCATGTCTGCATCACTCCCAGCACCTTCTGGGAGTCCATTAGGAATGCTCCTGGTAGAGTCCAAAGCAAGACGTCGTCAGTCAAACGACTTGAGTTCATGCTGCATGAGAAGCAAAAAGCAAAAACTCTCCTGGAATCTACCGCACCCTTGTCTGCAAGATTCTTTGCTAGCATATGCCTCTGGCCGACCTCACAAAAATCTGGGATTGAACTTGAGATTCAGGCTAGGCCCCCCTAGCATTTGGCGACGCAGGCCTGCGCATTTGCAACCACATCTCGGCCAGCCTCAAAAGCTTTTCAAAAGTGTACCGTAATCGAGTATAGATCCAACTACTCGGATCAATGCGACTCACATCTCTGCCTGCGCCTGGGATATGGCACTGTTGGGAGCAGTTGCCAGAATCCCACGAGAGACTGAACCATGCGGTGAAGATGTCTGCAGATTTGGCCCTGACAACGAGATGCGAATTAAGGAAGTGGGTGGGGCCAAAAAACCAGATCAGTAATGAAATGCGAGGGGTCTGAGGAACTTGCACGGCCCGGAGGTGTCCTCACAGCCATGTTTTTGCATCCCATCATGTTGTACAGGAAGCTTCCACTCAGAAAATGGAGAGCGGGAGAAGCATGAATGAAAAAACCGATCATAGTGAATCATCAAACGCTCAAGTTCTGCCCAGTGGCAGTCGGATCTTGCAAACGAGCGGGGCCACGGAAGGCCTGGCCAGCTTGAAAGCTTGCCACAGCACGGCGCACACTGCTGTTGGGGCTTACACTTGTACTGTAAGTTTTTAGTAACATCTTTAGTGGACTGAACAAAATCAAGGGCCTTCTAAAAAAGAACTCAAAAACCTAGCAAAGGTCTTTGCAATCACGGACCTTACCGAATCTCACCGGAGGGTCAATCTTGGCGCGGACTACTGTGCAGTTTTCACCCTCTGCCTGGCTGCGGTTCTTCTGCACGGCTGCCTCCCAAAACCAACACACAAACGTTATCATGAAGAAAACAGCGGGTGGGAGGACATGGATGCATCCCATTCACTTTGCCTGGTCAGCTGTGCCGGCACAGAATCCCTGTCTCACCAAAGATCTAAGCATTGCCATGATCTTTTCTGCCTCGTCCAACTGGAAAAGTGCGCAGTGGAGATCAAAAGCAGCGGGTGTTCTAATCCGTTTTGGGGTGAGCTCAGTTTCCTGAAAAACTTGAGGCGACGGAGGTGGACGAAAGGTAGAGGTTGGAAGATTCTGAGCAGGAGCAAGCAGCCAGCAGCAGCAGCAGCAAAGCGAAAAGGTAGCACCAGCACCAGCAGCAGCAAACGAGCAGCAGCAGCAGCGGCGGCGGCGGCAGCAGTGGCAGCAGCAGCGGCTGCAACAGCAAAGCAGCAGCTGCAGCACGGCAAAGCAGAAAGCAGCAGTAGCAGCAGCAGTGGCAGCAGTGGCAGGAGCAGCGGCTGCACCAGCAGCAGCAGCAGCAAAGCACCAAAGTTCACACAAGTTTGGCCTCCACAACCCTTGGTTTTCGTTCAGTTTCGGGGGGGTTGTGCAGAAGAAAAGGAAAGAGGGTGGAGACTTGTCATGGTCGAGGGCAAAGAAAGGAAGCACCAACAGTGCCCGCCCCGAAAGCCCCAAAACAGGCAATGCGCAACCACCTCAGCAACAGCAGCCAGCAAAGCAGCAGCAGCCTTCAGGATTCAAGCAACAGCAGCAACCAGCAGGAAGTAGCAACAGCAACAGCAGCAACAGCCAAACAGCAGCAGCAACCAGCAGGACCAGCAGCAGCAGCAGCAACACCAGCAACCAGCAGCATCAGCAGCAGCAGCAGCAACAGCAACAGTAACCAGCAGCAGTAGCAGCAACCACAAACCACCAGCAGCAGTAGCAGCAACGAGCAGGAGCAGCAGCAGCAGCAGCAGCAAGCAGTGGCAGTAATAGAAGCAGCAGCAGCAGCAGCAGCACCAACAGCAGCAACCAGCGGCATCGAGCAGCAGCAGTAGCAACAACGACAGCGGCAGCAACCAGCGGCAATGAGCAGCAGCAATAGCAGCGACCAGCAGAAAGCAGCAACCAGCACCAGCGACAGCAGCTAGCAACAAGCAACAAGCAGCGCAGCAGCAAGCAGCAAGCAGCAAGCAGTACAGCAAGCAGCAACCAGCAGCGGCGCAGGGTTGAGTCGAATGGGGGGGGCCAACATTTCAAAACCTAATTAAAAACCATCGAAATCAGGAGCGGGAAGAGGAGCGGGAAGAGTGCAGCGCCCCCAATACATATTGCTAAAGCAAAAACAACTCAGGATACATCACCACCCTTTGAAGGAGGGCGTCTCAATTAAATATTGTCTTTTCTACTGAGGGGCCCTTCCCTATTCACGCAGAATGAAACATTTTTTGATGCGGTTCCCTTCAACAGCTAGCGCTTTTGTACGCAATATGGCTAGTTCGGCGGCCAGGCTCTTCATGGTCTCACTTCTCATGGCCGAGGATGCAACACAACTTTTTGACACAGGCATAGGCGACACCAATAAGCAGTTTTTGGACCTTGCATTCTTTGGTAAAGGCGCTGTCTTCCCTCTTCCATCCACACATGCAGGTCACATGCACACTCCTTTCTGGCTCATCTTTTTTTGGCCGGCCTTTTTGGCTTTGAAAGCTTCTGGTTCTGCAACACCATGAGCCACAGGAGCCACGGGATTGGTTTTAGCTTCTGTCAAAGCTGGGGGCTTTCTTTAGACTTCCCACAGCCACCGATTCAAGACCAGGCTCGGCTTGAGCAGGAGTGGCGGATAAGCCCCTGCGAAGTCAACAACCTACACCTTATGATAAGCGCGGTCGACTGCACAGAAACAGCAGCAGTTGCAAACAGCGCAACCTCAAGGATGCTCATGCTGAGGTGCCGCTGCCGTTATTGACGCATACCTTGTGACGCGAGATACTTCACTGGATGAAGGCATACAGGAAAGGACCACGGCCTGAAGATATTGGCACACTTGGCAATGATTTGGCGCTGTGTCTCCAAGGCCCAAGCCCACTAAAACTGTTTCCAATGGCCAGATGGAGCCAGTGGTTTTGCTGCAGCGTGGCGCTTTTGAAATGCTTTGCCATGATCAATGCCATACTCGGTGGCCAACTTAGTCTGCACCCCGCGAGCAGAAACTGTACGCTTTCAATTTTGAAACGCCCGCTTTTCTGTCCAGAACAAGGCAATGATGTTCGGGGCTTCTTTCCAGGCCGGGGTACGCTAGGCGATCCGTCAGAAGAATGTCTCTGACTGCCGAAGTTTCTGCGCTTTCGGCGCCTTCTTTTTGATCCAACTCATTCCGTGATTTTTGGCTACCACTCAGACTGCTCCACGATAAGAGGCCCACCTTCTGGCGCCATTTTGGTCATGATTTGACTGCGCCCATGCCAACTTGAGCATCCCCTAACTTTTTTAATGGGTAGCTTCGCAAAGTCTGCCCAATGTTTCAATGAAGCGTCAAGAGCGCAAAGAACTTTCCGGCCGCATGTCCAGCTCTCTTGCTCTGGGCCTGTGTAGAAGAAATAGGGCGATGTCTGTGTCTGGCCAAGAGCAAAATGGAACCCAGACCGTTCGCAAGGTGACCCTCACACGCGCCACTGGCCGAGCCACCACGCTAAAAGGACAAGGGCTGCCAGGAGAAACGCAGGCATCTATCTCACTTCTAGCGTCCATGACCGCAAAATCCGAGCGTAGCCTGATCAACTAGGCAGGTCCAGCCTTCAGCTTTGGTCAAGCCCGATCAAAAATTGTTTGGCCGTCAAAGCCCATCAGGCATTGTCTGGCCCTATTTTAACGAAGTCAGGTGATTTTGGGGTCGATACCTGGGACCTTTCCAGTTCCCCTGCTGGCTTCTACAACATCGAAACGCGAGCGTGGTCTGATCAACTAGGCAAGCTCCAGCCTTTAGCTTTGGTCTAACCCGATCAAACATTGTTTGGGCCTACTTCGTTGAAATTGGATGATTTGGGCGGGTCGCTGGCTGACACCTTTCAAATCTCACAGTCTTTCTGTTGACCATCGGGCGAGGAAAAGACAACAGCTAGAGTTGCTTGCAGCTTGTTTGGCTCCATCTACTTAATTTCAAATCTTGGTCGTTAATTTCAAGTGACGTCGGTGATGTCGTTAGAGTTCACCCAGATTTACAAAGGGGTGGTGATGCACATAAAATTTCTCCCTGAACAGCTCCCTGCTTCAGGTTCCAGAAGATGTTGGGGACATGATTTATCTATTGTAATCACAGGATCTGTGCGAATGTCTCAGCCGTTGGCCTCTTTCATTGGATTCTCTGACCTGAAAACAGGCAGCGTGGCTGCTGGCTGCTTGCCAGAACCCACGGATTCTAGCCAATCCAGCTTTAAGGCCATCACCCTTCCAAGTGCAGGATCCAGCGTTGCACGACCTAGAAATTCCAACAATGACAATGGGTGAACCATAAGGGCTGAAGAGCCAAGCGGACAAACATGGACAAACTACATTAGCTAAGTCCAACTAATAACCTAAGTCACATGTCCTGGGTATCGAACTGTGGGATCTCCGCAACTGTCGAGCGAGGCGATGACTTCCTTCGCCTGCGGGGTTCACGTTCTACTCTGCATACCAAGGCATACAACAGTTTTCATCCCAACTTACTCCGGGCTTTTTGTCAGTACAAGGAGCTGTGAGTATCTAACTGAGCTGTGCCAAGCGCTGCTGCGGTAGGATGTAAGCACCCATGGGCTTTCGCTCTTTACTGACTCTAGCAGCCTGCATGTTTACCTGCGCTGGCCTTGTGATGTATTCATGCTCACTTTCCCGCTACGGAATCTTGTAACAGCATAATATAGGGGAAGAAATGCCGAAATGCCCAGTGGTTCGCCAAACATGGCCACACAAGGGACAATCGGCATACCTCCGGGCAACTTGAGATTGACATTCGGTCTCTCGCAAATTTCTGTCAGCTAGGCTAGAAGGTCGCCTGACGCAACTGTTGGGTACGATCAGGCGCTGCAGCTGCAGCTGCACCGTTAACCTGGCAGTTTGACATTTCAGGCCACCCCTTGCAAATTTGTTTTTTTTAAATGAACCAGGCTTGTTTCACCATGGTGGGTGCCGGCAAAGACCCTGCTGCCGGCACGGTGGGTTGCGTAGTGCCTTCCCACACGTAAAAAGGCATCATTGCAGAATAAAGGCACGGCAAACGACAAGCACGGATTGCTTCACCTTCATTGTGCAGCGCTGCTTGGTGGGCACGGAGAAGACCCTGCACCTTTTGGTTGATACGTCCTGGGTCAATGAGCTTCTGAGGCTGAAAAAGGCTTTCACGCATTTCTCGTCAGTCATTTGAAAAGGCTGGTTCGCTTCTTGGCTTCTACTTGACAGATGGGGAAAGGTTGCCACGGGCCGACCTCTTTGGCTTTGACCTGCTGTCATGGCTGTCATAGGTGGCGTCCGGACGTCTCGCTCGGCCTCCAGTGCTTTGGTGCTGCTGTAGTGCTTTGGCGACTTTGCCCGGGACAAAAAAAACCCGCCTGCGTTGAAAGACCAACATGTGGGCCTGCAAGGGTGCCGACACTCAATGCATGCATTGAGGACCGGGCTTTCCCGGTAGGCAGCCTATAGCAGCCGGCGCTGCGCGCTCCTGAAAGCACTGCATTGCAAAAACATGCAAACACATATGTCTTGGAATGTCTTGGATTGCATTGAGTTCCTGTCCTGCTCGGGGGTTGGCAGGCGGGTGTCTGGCCCGAGAAAACCTGATGCATCCAACATGTCAATATACTTGTCTGGAACACTACTGCACTACCGCTTTCGTTTCAGCCTGGATGAAAAGGGCGCTGTCCGTTTGGAGATACCAAACCCAGGTTCCTGCACAGTTTCATCCCGCACAGCTTGGCAGAATGCATGAAAGTGTCAACTCGCACCTAGGGCCAATTGCAGCCTCCTGGCGTCACAAATTGAACCCAACCCTGGTTGTTCCCCATGGTCTCTCCAGCGAATATAATACAGTACGACAAACTGTTTGAAAGTATGCGATAGGCTCTGCAAACCATTGCTATCTAGAGCAATCACTCATCCTGGCACAAGGGCATTAATTGATAATCAGTTCTCAAAAAGCTAAAGGAACCAGCTGTCCAATCCTTCAAAGATGGATGTGGGCCAATCATCCCCTCTCTTCTCAAAGCCTCCTGCAGGTGTAAAGAGATTTACGTATAGCGTGCAGGCATCACCCAAGACACAGTAAGCTCCTGCCATGATTGAGCACTTCCTGTTGCAGGCCAAGCCGGGATGCAAACCATCAAGTCTCTTTTGTGTCCATCAAGATGACAGCTCGTGTGACTGCATTTCGTTGTGCTACAAGCATAGCTGTCAACTCTTGTCAGTAAAAAACAATAAAAAACAAGTTCCCAATTCTTTCGTGCAATCATAAGATCATAGGTTCATAAGTAAAGAACTCGTTATCGGGGAAGAATGACAGGCCTGCAGGGGATATGCTCGGTGTTGTTCCTCTGACCTGAGACAAAACAAGCTTTCTAGTCATGGTATTGGAATGTTGGCAGCATACTGCACAGTGCAATGAAAGCCAAACCAAAATAAGATCACCACACTTGCGTCGCTCGCTGCGACGGGTTTGTGCACATTACCGCGGAGGAAAGGTGCCACCTGATTGCAAAGAAATAATCATGCTGTCCAATCTGCACCCAGGATGACTCCAAGTTATAGGCCCTATAAGCTGTCGTTTTCTAGGCTGGACAGTGACACTTCCCACTCTGTTCTTTCCCTTCTCCTCCGGCCTTCTTGGATGCAGCGCTCAAGGCAGCAGCCGCATCCTTGGACACAAACAGGATGTAAACGGATCGTAGTTCATAGCGTCATGAAGCTATGTGAAGCTCATAGAGTAGCTCATAGCGTCCCACTTCCTCCATCATTATCTCATCTCGCATCGAGTCACCTTAGCGCTCCAGACGGATTGCATGGTTTCTGCGGCTTCGATCCCGGCAATCTGCAATTCCATCAGAATGGGCTCTTGGAGCGGAGCTTGCCAAATTCTTAAAGGCACTTGATGGCACCTGCATTGAACTGGAAAGCAACAGCTCTATAATTGTCTATTGTCTATAATACATGCCATGCCAGCAATGTTGCTTCAGCGAAGGATTCAAAATCATAACCCACTGCAAGTCTGAAACAAGAAGTATCTTCCGGGGAAAAGTTGGTGTACAGCCTCAAAGGCTCTCCCTTCTGCCAATTACCATCAAAGCAATCGCTGGCTTCTGGAAGCCGATGATATTGCAGTTTCCATGAGCTTCGTCACTGAGGGTTTTCGGCTTTATCCACTGATCTGGGCTCAGAAGCCTCTGGGAAGGGTAAAGGCTCCTTCATCGATGCGAGGTCCTTTGGGCAACCAATGGTCCAACTGCAATGACCCAACGACCCATCGATTCCAGATTCCAAGATCAAATAAATGTGGTGTTGTGCTCTACAGCAAGGGTCCTCTCCAAGATCTGTCAGTCTTCCCGGCAACATCCTTCAGACGCTACAAGAGCAGACCAGATCGCATCACCTGAAATTTCAAACATTCTGAACAGCGTGCATCATCGCGCGTGGTGCGGTTGAAATTTGGGACTCAGATTCTGGCCCACTCCGGAAGCTTCAGGTTCCGGCGTGTGAAATCATTAACTACTGCGTGCCTAAATAACAGAATAACTGCTGAAAAGCCTGGAGTGACCATCAGAACAGTCAAACGCAATAATCTGTGGAGTAGCTGGGGTGCTGATGTTTTCTGCATTGAGCTCATGCTAAGTTGTCACTAAATGGGAGCCAACGTCTCCCTCCTGCAACTTTTGGGAGCAACGGCAAGCCGGACGAGCCGTCTGAGCGGATCCGGACAGCTCTCCGCTGGAGTCCTGCCTAACTCAACTCAAGCAAGCTTGCTGAGCCAGAAGCATGCGGCAAGGCTTGCTGAAGACGATCTCAAAATCATTGACATATCATGACACATCTGTGATAGTTACGATACCTGTCACGATAGATGCCAATTTGGTGTTCTGTCACCTTGCCTGTGTGCTCTCCTTCAGTTCAAAAAATTCTGAGTTGAACGCCAGCTAGGAGAGGGAGGAGACGAATCACCTGTCTGAAATATTCACTGCAATGGGTTGAGTCATATCCTGTGCCCCCCGATAGCGGTAAATCTCCAGAGGCCTTATTCGGAACAATCCTCGCCATTGGTCAAATAGTTGGATGATGTTGGATGAATATCGTTGAATATCTACTACGTATCTGGTTTGAAACTGGCTCGAGGAAATTCAGGCCTTGTTGCGCGCTTGCCCTCATCGCCAAATGCCAGAGGCATCGCATTTGCTTCATGCGTGATAAGCTGTAGATAAGCCTCCAAGCCCAATGCATGCAAAGCACTGAGGTAAAGGGCAAAAAAGAGCAAGTCCAAAAGGAGCCAACAAGCAACTGGCAATTCATATGTTTGGCAATTTGTGCGTCGCGTCTGTGTGAGTGAACACAGACTTCCCATCTCACATGACTTGCGCTGCCGTTTTGTGCCGGTCAATTCCTCTGTTTGCTTTCCACGGTGACATGAGCCGTGCGGAGAGAGGCCAAAGGCGGATGCACTCAAAAGGACAATCACAATTGCCACGGTGTGTAAGCCCATTTGCCTCATGGCTTGTCCCAAGGAGTTCTACATGCTTGCGCAGGGTTCGCACAGCGGAGCCACGAGCCTGAACGCAAAAGGAAAGTTGGTCCACCCAAGTTTGCTTGACTACACTTGAAATCTTTGCTCCGTGCCACTCTGCGCCAATCAATTATTCAACTTACCAAAGAACAACCAGCCGTTTGTCACTAACCGAGCCTGCTCAAAGTTGATTCCAAGGGAAACCATGTAAGCCATGTAGCGCTGCAAGAAAGGGGTCATGACAACCTCGAAACGATAGAAAATAATAGAAAATATATTGTTTTCTTTCTGTTTCGTGTTGTAGCTGCCGGCCTCCTGAACCTCTCGCTTGGCAGATGCTGCATCCCTTGGAATGGGTAGATTGCTGTCAAACCAAGTCTGGTACAAACACCATTTGTATAAAGGCAATTGGCCGCAACAAGAAGAGCTGCTAATCTCTCAAGAAACTACTAGGGGCTGAGAGGGTTTGGGCTCGGGCTCTTCGCGTGGTTGGCTTGGTTCACAAATTTCAGGGTAACTTGGCGCTTCCTTCCAAATTTTGATCATTCTGTGGTCCCCACGCAACTTGGCAGGAAAGTGACTCCGGCAGTCCTTCAAGTTGAAATGGTTTGACAGAAGGACTGGCCTCCCTTCATTGGCGGTGCGCACAAGCACAGCCATAGAAAAATTATATGTTCAACACAGCACAAGGGGGTTGGCCAATTGGCATCGTTGTCCGATTGAAAAGACTTGCGGGGCGGACTTGATGGCGAAGCCCATCTCGACAGGACTAGCTGGAAGTGAGCCTCGACTCAGGCAATGTGTGGTTCTTTGTTGATTCTTTGCTGCTGGCATCCACGCTTTGCAGCGCGCCTCCGCCAAGCCAGCAAGCAGCAGGTCTTCCCAGAAGGTGACCCTGGCAAAGCACCAGTAGAGATTAAGCAACTAAAAGATCGGAAGAACTAATTGGCGGACAGTCAGAAAAAGCAAGAAACAACGAAGTATCTTGAAATGTTAAGCCGAAAGTGAACAGCCATCCAGAAATCGCAGTATCCTTTTCTGGCAGGTGGTCAGTTTGTTCTGTTGAAGGCGGAACTCAAAAGTTGCAGCTCTTCTTCCATTTTTCCACAAATACTCGCAGAAGAGGATTTGCACTCTTTCAGCGTGAAGGGACAAAATTGCATCCAGAGGCAACGTGGGTGTGACGACATCAATGTTGCTGTCCAGCTCATCCAGGCAGTGGAGGACATCAGCCATGCTTGTATGTGGACATCTGCATCAGGATCCTCCACCTGACCAGCCAGAACGTAGACTTGGTCAGGTTGCAAAGCACGCCGCAGCTGCTGCAACATGGGCTCTCTGTGTTTTTTCTGTTGGTCACGTAGCATGCCAAAGCGTTGGGAGCAGCTCGGGTCGCCCAAGAAGCAAGAAGGGCTGCAAGCACAAAGCTTTTTCCACCACCAGGAGGAGACCAAATTGAATGTATGCAACCGGGTTCTTGCACAAGTTGTTTCACCAGGTCTTGCTGTTCTTGGTCCAACTGTGTAGCCGCCTGTGCAGCAGAGGCCTCACCATGCAGCCTTTGGAGAAAAATGATGCCAGCATACTCCAGCCATGATGACACCTCACGCATTAACGCTTTTGACCCATGGTTCAGCAGGCCATATATAAAAGAATTGTGCTCACAATCTGCTGGGCATGCCCAGCATGATGAGCCTCACTGCAGTTTTGCAGATTAACTTCCCAGCCTGCCCTTCTCTTTCAGACGACACTGCCTTCCCATTTCCGTCTTTTGGGTGGTTCGCTGGAACATGTTGTTAGAAGCTGTTTTCCGTAGAGGATGCGAAAGGGAAAGAGAAGACCCCAGTCCCCGTACGGAGAAAAAGGTAGGTGTGAACAGTGTGAACCAAGAAACTACACCCGCTGTAGCTGAGGCACACCTCGCTCGCTGTCCATGGTGGGGCTCCGTCCTCCCATCACCCAGGGTTTGAGGGGGAACAATTGAACTGGCGGCTTGGATCAAATCCTTGAGGATCAGAGTGATCAATTGTCAAGTTTATCTGCGCAAAGGTTCAGGTTGCTGTGGTGGCAAGTCAGTAGCTGGACAAGGCCGCGCAGTGGGTCCGCTCGGTGGCCTGACCCATCAAGATGTTGCCCAGGTTGTCCGCGATCAGGGACCCCCCTGTGCAAGCAAGAACCAGCGCTGGAGTCTTCTGCGAGAAGTGCCGCAAATATATAAATGCTTGACCGGGCCCATCTTCAGCTGGAATTGGCCTTGCACTGACATCACTAGCCCCGTTCACTTCGAGGTGGGGGCAACATTCAGGATGTCGTTGTACAAAGCGGGGACGAACTCGACAAAGGTGCAGGTGCAGGTGATCTGTTCACTCCGCTCTCTATCTCCGTGGCCCGACATTGGCCAAAGTGTCCACGATGTTTAGCGGCGCTTTCCTGGGCCAGCTGGATGGCGTACTGTCAAGGTGACAAGGCCATGTGCACATCTCCTTCTCCGGGCTCCTCTCTGTCGGAGCCGCTGCAGGGCTGCGGCTGCCCGCGCAGCCTTCGCGGCGGATCTGTCTGGGGGTCTCCAGCTTCTTCTGAAGTGCTCTTGGACCTCCATGATCTCAAAGTCCGTGTCTGAAGAGACAGTAGAAAGGGCCTCCCGCGGTGGCGTCCACTCCATCCAAAAGATCAGTGCTCGCATACTTGAGCCAAAATGGCAGGCCATTATTTTGGCCTAACATGTTCTAAGCACGTAGAAATAGATAATGGCAGACATAACGAAAGCATGTAAGGCCACAAAGTGCCAGAGTTGCCGGCTCCAAAGGGGATGATTGTAGACTCTGAGAAGAACGTCTTTGCGCGAATCCTACCATTATCATTTCTCACACAGTCTTGTCTAAACTGCAATCCACTGGCCTGAAGTTGAAGAAACTTCGAAAGGACCTTGGGAAGAACAACTGTGCATAAACCTTGCGTAACATTGAGTCGAATTGAACTCACAGGTCCAGACTTGAGGGCCAAGGGCTAAACGTGTCCAACGGTTTCCCTGTACCAAGTACCATGCATGTCCCTATGCTTTGTTCAGTACAAGCTGTAAGCATGTGAGGGGACAAGTATCAAGTAGTACGAACTTGTCGAGATTGCACGTGACAAGGCTTCGGATGGGATGTAGTGATTGGACCCGTTTGGAATACTGTGAGTGAAGCGTGTGTTGAGATTCCCAGTGATGTGGACCCAAGAGTAACAAACCCTTACAGAAACATCAGGTTGAGCTGCGTGTGCCGGTTCGAGGGCCTGGCCAATAAGTCTCTTCCGTTCCAAACATCAGAGTCTTTGTCAGCTCCATCCAGCGCTGCCTCCCGAGATGGGATTTGTGCAAAGCAATAAGCAGTCACTAAAGAGCTATTGCTGTACTGCTTCTCCATTGACCTATGAAAAGACCTGCTTAGAAGTGCTTAGATGTGCTATAAGGACCTGCAGGGTCTTGAAAATACTATTCCAGGATTCTGTGAGGTGAACGCATTGACCCTGGAGTACGAAAAGCGGACTATATAATCAGGCACAATGCAAACCCAGCATCATAATGGCATGATTCATGATGCCGTTGAATGTTTCATGCGTTGTTGATGTGATGTCTTGATATACATCAAATGCACTGCAATGTCCCTTGACCTGGAAGAGGGACACTGCGATCTCAAAGGCATCCTCGCTTAGCTCAGCAGCCTGTGGCCTTGAACTGAATGCGCCAAACATGAAAGATCAGCTGGAAGCACCCAACACTTGAATCGAAAACAATCTGGTATTCCAAATTATTCCAAAGGCCTGCCAATACAGTCGTATGTATTTATTCATGTTCATT